CAGACCCGTCAGTTGCACACCTACACACGTCAACACACAGTGCAGCTATGCTGAGACGCAGCGAGTGTGCCTCGTGCTCGCTGAGACACAGGCGCTAACCCACAGTGCGGTTGTGCTGACTGCTGACACGTACACGGCGTGCGCCAGGCGAGCCACAGGTCAGACCTACAGAGCCACTCTGGGACCGGCCTTAAACACAGCTCAATAAGTTTGAGTTCTTTCCTCTTCTACTTTTGAAATAACGAAGGCGTATTTAAAGCAGGGGGGGGGGAGTATTTTTCAGGACACAGTACAAGGTACATGTACTTACTTGTGGATTGCTTGTTGTGTGCAGTGCGCAAAAATAGGCCCATCTGGATCCATAAGGAACATCAGCAGTACAGGTGACACACACTGTGTTGTAATTGTTCTCACACAACCGAGGTGGATCACACACCGGGGTGTAAGCAACGCCTAGGTGGAAAGAAGAAAACAAACCTGTCTAAGTCCATGCTGATTCTGACTTGCTAATCGAAAAACGCATTAAATGAAAATAAAAATGTTCCTAATAAAACTTGAATTTGAAACTCCTTCATCACAGCTGCCATATTTTTTTTGACAAGTTAAGATTTGATCTAGATCTAGATTTAAATTTGTTTCATTCTTTAATTATTTTCTTTCTTCTCTCGAGAAGCTGGAGGGGGGAGGGGGGAGAAATATTTTACGATTTTTTAAAAAGTCATTTTGGGGGGGGGAGTGGAGGTAACTGCGAGAGAGTGGGCAAACCATCATCATCATCATCATCATCATCATCATCATCTCATCATCATCATCTTCATCATCATCATCATCATCATCATCATCATTGTAGACAGCACGGAGGTAAATAGACGAAAAATGATGGAAACAGAGTAGAATTTCAAAGTTATAATAAGTTCAACGTTTGGCCGCTGGGGGCTTCGTCAGGAACATCAACAACAAAAAATGACTAGACCTAGGCTACACTAGGGAAACAAAAGTGCGTACACTCACGGACAACAACAGAGCGGCTTAATACCTACCCGTCAGAAAACACAGCACAAACACACACACACAC